CTTCTCGATGTATTTATTATTCTCTAATGAATATTATCTTTAATTAATTAGGCTGATATTGGTATTAGACAATAAAAGAATGTAATGGTCCAAGATTAATTATGGTCGGCAAAACCACGTAGAATACTGTTACACAATGTGAACAACAATAAATGCGAACTGATTTATTCCATAGAGCAAAACGACAGCGTTTCTGTTGGGCGGGAAACAATAATTGGCAAAACTTCTTGCTTTATTATAGAGTTAGATTAGATTATTATTATTATTATTATGTTTTAATGCCTAATTATTTTGTGCAATATTTTTTTAAGTTTTTATTTTCAATACATATATATTTTTTAAGTTTCTTTTTTCAATACATCTTTTTTTGTTCAATACATGTTTTTTTAAGTTTATATTTTCAATACTTATTTTTGTTTATGTTTTAATTTTAAATAAAGAGAAATAATAATTAATTTTGTTATTCTAATATTTTTTATAACTCAAATTTGTTGTATACATTATTTTAAATTGATTTAACTATAAATTGAAATATAAAATGATTACTAGTGATATTTGAAATGAATAAATATAAATTGATTTTCTACCTATCTTTTTATACTGTAAATACCGTAACAATTTTATAAAGATATATGTGGGTTATAGTTCTAACAATTTTGATGTAGTTAAAATTCAATAAAGATATGTGGGTTAGAGTTCTATTGAGACTTTGAAATATAAATTGATTTTCTACTTATCTTTTTATACTGTAAATACTATAACAATTTATAAAGATATGTAGATTAGAGTTCTAACAATTTTGAGGTAGTTAAAATTCTAATCATAAAATAAGTGGAGGTCAAGGCTTCTAATCATAAAATAAGTCTACTGCATGCGTTCCTACACTCTTTCTATTTTGAATTTTGTATTTATGGTTGTCCTTCCGTCTCTGTAGAATAGTTTCCTACAATTGTGTATTCTTTGTAGTATATATTGCTATATGTACTCAATATTACTCAATAAATTGATTTTTTACCTATCTTTTTATACTGTAAATACAATAAATTGATTAATTTACAACTATATTCACAACAAATTAAATTAAGGGAAAATGACACTTTTTCCCCCTAAGTTATATACTTATAGCCATTTTTCCCCCTCAATTATTTAGGTAAACACATTAGCCCCCTCAATTATTCTAAAAGTGATGATTTTCCCCCCTGATATATTAAATTGACATTTCTACCCTTAAAGTAAACATTTTATTTATTTTACTTCTCCAACAAATTATCGCGTATACGTAGGGATGACCACGGTTCAGATCAAACTGAACCGGACACTATAGCAATTGAATTAAAAGTTTCCGGTTATGATTCAGATCTAGAACCTAATATTTGGATTTCAATTTATTAAAATTATGAATAAAAAAAATTGGATCTTGAACCGTGAATCGGCGGTTTTGGATCCGGTTCGCAATTTTGAACCGTCTTTATTTTAAAATTTTATTTTTTATTTTAAATAGTCTAAATTCAACAATAAATATATTTTATTTTTCAGTTCGGTACATGAATCGTCCGTTCCGATTCGCGATTTTAATAAACTCTAAATATCGAGTTTCGATTCTAAATTATAATTGGAATATTTCGGTTTGGTTGCTATAGTGTTTGTTTGGTTTGAACCAAATTATTGTCATAATTTGTTGGAGAAGGAAAATAAATGAAATATTTATTTTAAATATTTATTTTAAGGGTAAATATGTCCATTTAACATTTCAGGGGGAAAAACAGCCACTTGAATAATTCAGGGGGAGAAAGTGCTATAAGTATATAACTTAGGGGGAAGAAGTGTCATTTTCCCTTAAATTAATTCAGTATATAGATAGACTCACCAGTCACCCAATAAATAAAATCCCAAATTCATTACTCTTTATACTATAATTTTCTCTCTTGAAATGGATCAAAGAGATTGTTATTTAGTCAATTGAGAAATTATATCTAATTTAAATGAATCCTAATTACCTAGCAAGCAAGAACAAAGTGGCTTAAAATACAAATAGCAACACCAATAGAAATAAATAACAATTCATTAACAATTCAATTCTGCCTATTTGCTTATACTGTAAATACAATAATTGCTTAATTTACAACTATATTCACAACAAATTAAATTAATTTACAACTATATTCACTAAATTGATTAATACTATAATTTTCTCTCTTGACATGGAACAAAGAGATTGTTATTTAGTCAATTGAGAAATTATATCTAATTTAAATGAATCCTAATTACCTAGCAAGCAAGAACAAATTTACTTAAAATACAAATAGCAACACCCATAGAAATAAATACCAATTCATTAACAATTCAAATTCAAATAACAACTTAAAATACCTCATAATGTCCTTGACTTTGATTTTGATCATTGTAACTAAGTAACTGGCTTTGATTCTGATTATTTTAACTAAAAAAATCTTCTATCCAATCATCCATGGCTTATAGATTGTGTGATACATATACATAACACACACCACACATATATATCGAGTCATATAAGTCCAATTTGTATTCTCTGCCGCCCAAATTATCAGTAATTTCATCTCACAAACATCAATATTGACTAATTGTTTAAAAAAATATGTATTAAAATTATAAACTTAAAAATATGTATTGAAATTAGAAACTTAAAAAAAAATTATTAAAATTAGTAACTTAAAAAAATATGTATTGAACAAAAAATATATATATATTGAACAAAAAAAAAAGATGTATTAAAAATAGAAACTTAAAAAAAAAATATTTATTGAAACTTAAAAAAATATTGCATAAATAATTAGGCATTAAAACAAACAAAAAAAAAAAAAAAAAAAAGGAAAGCAGTGACTGGATTCATCTTAAAAACATGTTTTAATTAATTAGGTTTGAATTAAAATATTATTAATTATACCTCATAAATGAGGTTTGGTCAAGGTGGTGCAAATAGCAAAATAAATCTTTATTTGGCTATTTACACCACCTATGCAATTATTAAAAGTTTTCACCTTTTTTACAATTTCAAGATACTTTATATCTACTTTTGGTCAAATAAGTAGATACTTTGTAGAGACGGAAGGACAACCATAAATACAAAATTCAAAATAGAAAGAGTGTAGGAACGCATGCAGTAGACTTATTTTATGATTAGAAGCCTTGACCTCCACTTATTTTATGATTAGAATTTTAACTACCTCAAAATTGTTAGAACTCTAATCTACATATCTTTATAAATTGTTATAGTATTTACAGTATAAAAAGATAAGTAGAAAATCAATTTATATTTCAAAGTCTCAATAGAACTCTAACCCACATATCTTTATAGAATTTTAACTACATCAAAATTGTTAGAACTATAACCCACATATATCTTTATAAGATTGTTACGGTATTTACAGTATAAAAAGATAGGTAGAAAATCAATTTATATTTATTCATTTCAAATATCACTAGTAATCATTTTATATTTCAATTTATAGTTAAATCAATTTAAAATAATGTATACAACAAATTTGAGTTATAAAAAATATTAGAATAACAAAATTAATTATTATTTCTCTTTATTTAAAATTAAAACATAAACAAAAATAAGTATTGAAAATATAAACTTAAAAAAACATGTATTGAACAAAAAAAGATGTATTGAAAAAAGAAACTTAAAAAATATATATGTATTGAAAATGAAAACTTTAAAAAATATTGCACAAAATAATTAGACATTAAAACATAATAATAATAATAATAATAATAATAATAATAAAAGAGATTGATTATTAAATAAAAATAAAAAGATTAATGTTTGACTACATTTAATGAGGTGGTGCAAATAGCACTTTTTTATTTGCACCACCTATAAAGCTATTACACCTATTAAATAGGAGGTGTAAATAGCAAAATGGGTGGTGCAAATAGAATTTCCCTTATATATTCATATACATGTCATTCAAATGAATATATATATAAAAAAATATTTTAAATATTAACTCAAAAAATTTTAATATTATCTAAACTAAATTTTAAGTGAAAATCGAAAAATTAGAAATTAGAAAACAGAAAACATAAAACAAAAAACAGAGAATGAAAATTGAAAAGGAAAACAGAGAACAGTTTTCTGTTAATAAACTGACCCTAGGCATTTCGAATTCGAATATTCAAGTCGAATTGAATATATTCAAATAATATAATCAAATCGAATACAAATAAAATTTTAGATTCTAATATTTATCAAACACGAATACGATTAGTTTTCAAAATAATCAAATTCGAATGGAATAATAAGATATTCGACTCCATTTGATTAGTTTACACCCTGTCCACACCACACGTGTATGCTGGAATCTCCACCGCACTAGGGGCAGCTGCCACGTAGTCCTCGTGGTTTCTAAGCTGACACTTGTAGACTTTTTAAAATAAAAATTGATAAGAGTCTATGAATGTTTTTTTATATAGACTTTTATAGAATCTTATAAAGTTTTAAAAAGTTTTAAATGACTCTATGAAAGTCAATCAAAGTTTGTTAAAATCCATCACTTTAAAAGTCTTTAAAACTCTACAAAAATCATGATTGAATACATCCCTCTTAGAATTCAAAGTAAAAGTTATATATTCATATACATGTCATTCAAATGAATATATATATATATATATATATTTTAAATATTAACTCAAAAAATTTTAATATTATCTAAACTAAATTTTAAGTGAAAATCGAAAAATTAAAAAACAGAAAACATAAAACAAATTTCTAAAACAGAAAACAGAGAATGAAAATTGAAAATTAAAAACAGAAAACAGAGAACAGTTTTCTGTTAGTAAACTGACCCTAGGCATTTGGAATTCGAATATTCAAGTCGAATTGAATACAAATAAAAATTTAGATTCTAATATTTATCAAACACGAATATGATTAGTTTTCAAAATAATCAAATTCGAATGGAATAATAAGATATTTGACCTGTCCACACCACACGTGTATGCTGGAATCTCCACCGCACTAGGGGCAGCCGCCACGTAGTCCTCGTGGTTTCTAAGCTGACTGACAAGCTTCAGATTCTGTGTTTCCAACCCAATCCAGATTCCAGAGCTTATAGGAAATCCTCTTTCGCCTCCCCTATAAATATAATCTAGGTCGCTTTGGGTGGACATTGACATTATTATCAGCAACCATGTCGGAATCAGTTGTAGTCGGTGAGGCACCGGAATCACTCGCCAGGGAGAGGTTTCGCATAGGATATGCCCTGGCGCCGAAGAAAGTTCAGAGCTTTATCCAACCTTCACTCGTCAGCCATGCCTTCCAAAGAGGGGTCGATCTTGTCCATGTCGATCTCAACAAGCCGCTGGTCGAGCAAGGGCGCTTCGATTGCGTCATTCACAAGCTGTACAGTGACGATTGGAGGAATCAGCTTGATGATTTCTCCCTCCAAAACCCTAGCGCCGTGATAATCGACCCTCTCGACGCCATCGCGCGCCTCCACAATCGGCGTTCCATGCTTGAAGTCGTTAGCGACTTGAAGGTCTCATGCGAGAGTGAGGTTCTCGGAATTCCGAAGCAGGTTTTCATCCCCGATGTTGATTCCGAGTCCTTGTCCGCCGCTCTTACTCGCGAGGGATTGAGGCTTCCGGTGATTGTCAAGCCGTTGATTGCAAGCGGGAGTGCTGGCTCTCACCAGATGTTTCTGGTTTTCAACGAAGAGGGGTTGAAGGATCTGAAACCCCCGATTGTATTGCAGGAATTCGTCAACCATGGCGGTGTCATTTTCAAGGTATACGTCGCCGGGAAGCACGTGCAATGCGTAAAGCGACGATCTTTGCCGGACATATCCGAGGCTAACTTCGGTACATCCGCGAATTTGTTACCGTTCTCTCAAATATCAAATTTAACTGCTCATGATCAAAGTGATGACAGATTTGCCAAGTTGATTGAGGAGGCGGAGATGCCTCCATTGAGTTTCGTAACTGAAGTAGCTAACGAGTTGAGGCGTGCTTTGAAATTGAATCTCTTTAATTTTGATATGATTAGGGACACTCGAGCTGGAAATCGGTATCTTGTTATTGATATCAATTACTTCCCTGGTTATGCTAAAATGCCTTCCTATGAGACCATTTTGACTGAATTTTTCCTTGACATTGCACACCTGAAGAAAAACAATCTGTACCCTTTTCACGGATCTGAGATTGGTTCAAAGGATGACAAGCCAGCCTAGTTGTTTTGTGCTTAGAATTTGGACTGCAGAGCTTTGTTCTTGACTAAATGAAGGAAAAGCTAACAGAGGCTGCCCTAAGGTTTGAATGAGGAAAGACCTTCTAAATCCTTTAAAGGCGCGGATGCTGATCATAGACTAGTCTTAGATTCCACTTCTTTGTCTGTCAGATAGCTGGGTGAGCCATGCTGACTCTTTCTTCTTTCCTGTGTTGGACTTTGAAGCTGGTTGTATGTCTAAACATCTTGCTGAATTTGGTGTTTTAGAAAACATTTTAGGGATCTTACAAGGAGTGAGAAATTCAATATTTGATCTTGAATCTATGTATACATTTAAGTGTATTTGGTTTATAATTTTTCTTTTTCCAGGATTCATTGACCTCTAATTTGCAATGCTGTTTCATGGGCTGAATGATAATGTCTTTCTTGTTTATTGGATTGAAATATTTTAATTTCCTACATAATGTGGTAAAGGCAGGGAATTGTTTTCTCCCTTTACTATTACTAGAAATAACTTGTCAAACTGAATTGCCTGAAATATTACGTGGTAGAGGCAGGAAACATTGTTTTCTCCCTTTACATGAGCCAAAGGTGATAAGCAAGTATTAGTGATAACAGATCAACCGGGAGAAATGATGCAGCATGCCAGCATCATACTCCAAGAACCTCGACAAAATTATGTTTTTCTTGACTTGATTGTTTCCTCAAACTTACCATCTGAGGACTAACGTAAAGCCAAAACAAAACGAAGTTTCTTAATTCATGGTTTACATTAAGGGCTGTGAAAACTTTCTTTATGAAAGCATGGAATTGGATACTTGTGAAAATCCCGTGTAGATAACCTCCCGTGCAGACTTTAACAATGACGAAAGGACAAGGTATAGCTTACTGTATCTATGTTATCATTACAGCCTTTAATACATGAACTTCTTATTGACTGGCAAGCTATCTTCTTTGCCCTGTTTCAGGCTCGTGAGCATATGGATACATTTGGTTTGAATAGCTGATGCTACAAACACTTAATATGTTGATTTTTCACCTCAAAAGTTATGAAGATGGCAATTAACTTTTTGTGTCACAATATGCCATTCAGATTTTCAGGTAGGTATATACTGCTTTCTCTATTACGCACAGCAGGACGATGCATAGATACCTGTATATCTATATATAAAAATTTCTGTGTGTTTGTGTTAGGTGTAAGGATTATGTTGTGGTGTCATGAGGTGAAATAATGAAACATTTGTTTGTTAAAATGGTTGGTAGAGGTTAGTTCTATATGGCCAACAGTACTACCTACTAACTATCAGGAAGGTCTTGGTATTATACAAACGTGTAATGGAAGTTATTTTTTAGCAAAAGGATACTGTTATAGAATGCCATAGAAGCCACTAAACAATATTAAGTCATATGTCATATGTCATATGTTATGGTACATAAAATTCAAGACACTTGCACACATATAGAACTAACCTCTACCAACCATTTTGCGTTAGTAATAATATGGTTATGCTTTGAGCCTTTGATATGTATTGATGGAAATATTTCAACCAGCAAGATAGGTGCGATAATAATTAACAATAAATAAATAGAAAATAAAAAAAAGGCAGAGCTTATGAGTAGCAAATAGTTCCATCCATTGCAAGACGCAACTAAATTGGAGGTTTAATACCTGCCAACTGAGATGGCTCAAGAGGTTCTATAGGGGGTTTATAATTTTCTCAACTCTTTTATATAAGTATCAAAACTCAAGCTAAACACTTTGGTCTTTGCTTTGGTTATATAGATAGTAACACAAGCAAATGTATTTTTGTGTATATCATATACTGTCCATAAAAATTAGCACGGTTTTTGGTATTAGTAGTTAAGCTAAAACACCTTTTTATGGTTTTCCTTTGCATTTTCAAGTAGAAAAAATGGAGAAATGACTTGTTTATTTACCAATGTGTTTGCTTGCATGTACTTCAATTTCTTCCATGGTTTATGTGGTCTTTCTAATGCTTTCTTCTTGTCTTTATGGAGATCAAAAGTAATTAATTCTCAGCTGGCAGATATATAAGAAGGAACATATAGGTTGTATTTCTTACACACACACACACACACACACACACACACACACACACACACACACACATATATATATATATATATATATATATATATATATATATATATATATATATCCATGTTGGTGCAATAGGCTATATATAGACAAAACAAAAATGTTTAAAAGGTATTGAATAATTGAGTCGATGATGTTTGGCACGGAGCCTGTATACAATGGTTACCCAACTGTAACATACCAATAAGAGCGTTGTTCCTATATAAATAGATTCAACATCTTTTTTATCCCTAAACTGGTGATAGAAAAGGAAAATAATGTTCCGTCATATATTCTTTATTTGTTCTTGTCTAGCTACAAACAAGCCACTAAAATAATAGTGAGCATTTCTTTACAAGAATTTGATAATATAGACTGGACAGTAATCAGGATCAATTGGTCAGAAATTCTTGTCTGCTATCAAGCAATGAAAACCGCTGGTTTGTGGAACTGGTTATGGAGAAAAGGTTTGGCTGCAAAAAAGAAATAAAAATTAGGTTGAAGAATTATAATCTAACGTAAAATGTTTATATAATTAGTGTAGGAAAGTAGGAAACGTATTAAGAAGTACTCAAAAGACTTGGTTTAAAGTTGAAATAAAGTTCTACTTACTATAAGATGTCTTGCCAGTAAGAGTCGGTTGCTTCATCATCATCCACTTTAATGTCTCTCCAAGCTTCAAAGGTGGTCGTTGCATTAGGCACATGGTTGGGAATATCGTGCTTCAGGTTTGCTGAAATAGTATATTTTTCTTTGTCGGTTTCCCAATCAATACTACTGCTTGGATTCTCGGGGAAAGGGGATGCCGGGATTAGTGCGGGAAATATTGGATTACTAGGAATGTCCTCGCCACTGGGAACGTTTAATGATGATGATGACGACACTGTGAAGGCATTAGTCATGAGCTTATTGCTGTCGTCATTAATTCTGGAAACGTTGGAGTTGGTTGTTTGCCTTTGATTAGTCTCGTTTGAGATGATACCGGGATGATGAATTTGAATCTCTGAATTTTGAGAGGTTGATGAAGTGGCAACTGAACCAGAACCGCTGATGTTTGGCGGTAGCCTACTAAAATTGTATGAGCTTCCCGGATTACACAATCCCCCCTGCAACTGTGGGTTCAGTAATGCGAGATGATCAAGAAGCTGGTTCCAGGAACCAAACTGAGTTGCTAATTCTGGAATTTGGTTCTGAGCCTCGTTCGTGGTATTGTTAACACTACCCCGGAGTTGTAATTGAAGTGCCATGAAATTCTGCAACAACTGGAGTTCATTTGCTAGTTGTGCCGCATCTGAACATAGCCTGAGAGCGTTAATACTGTCCCAAAGAGGATTTGCGACATTGCTGTTATTGCCCATGTTGGCAGCGGCAACGAGCAGCTGAGGTAGATTTGCAAGGGCGTCGATGAAGTTGAAATCAGTTCTTGGCCTATGCGTTACCGGGTCAATACCCATTTGCAGCAACCTTTTACGAAGATGAGTATTCCAGTGATTCTTGATCTCGTTATCAGTTCTTCCTGGAAGTCGCATTGCAATGGCTGACCACCTGCAGATTATTAGCACACACATCATCATATATGGAGCATTAAAGGTAAGCTAATCACAATATTTTCAGCTTATTTCGGTTTTTCTTTTGTTAGACCACTAGTTGTCTAATAGGCCCTAACTATAAGAGGCACTTTTAAGCCTGTACCATACTCAGACTAATTTCTTCGGTCACTCAGCCAACCAAGCTGGTTCAGCTTATTTTTTTTGGTCAGACCACGAGGTGTCCTAAGCAGCAGGCCCTAACTGTAGGAGGCACCTTTAAGCCCGAATCATACTTGGACTAATCCCCGTTCGCACCGGGCCGGCCCAATTAAGGGGCAAAATTTTGGCCATATTGGATTTTCCATACGAGAGGGGTTCGAACTCCCAACTTCTTTTGAGGGACAAGAGTGCATGGTCACTCACGCCAACCAAGTTGGTTAGCTGGTTCAGCTTATTTTAGTTTTAATAGCTATAACTACTGATTATTGCATGAGAAGTGATTTACTTGTTTCCCAGAACCGAATGAAGCTTGATGATGAGTTGTTCTTCCTCCTCAGAGAACTTGCCCCTCTTGATGTCAGGCCGGAGATAGTTCGTCCACCGGAGGCGGCAGCTCTTCCCACAGCGGTTAAGCCCAGCGAGCTTGGGGACTGCTCTCCAGCTTCCATGCCCGTTCTTTCGGATGTAATCTACCAGTTTTTCATCCTCCTCCGGCGTCCAAGGCCCCTTCTTCACACCACCGCCATTCTCATCTCCCCTGCCGCCACTGCTGCCGCTGAGCGTCGGTGATGACGGCCGCCTCATTGTGCTGGCCACCACCTGCATGTAAGGAGGAGAAGAAGAATGAAGGGGAAGTTTGCTCTTTTGGCTCTGTACGAATGTGGGATTGGGGGTGGTTTATATGGATATGGTGCTGTTTGAAAATAGGAGTTTTGACACCCTAAAGTGTGATGAAGAAGCATTACTTTTAATGACATGGACACCAACTTTAGTTTTCACTATTCTTTTATTTTCTTTTCCTTTTTGAGGGACAAAATCTAATGGTTAGAAGAGTTGGAAAACCTAATTGATCTACTTCCAAACAATGTCAAAATGAAACAACACAAAGTTTGTCAATGACATCATAATCTAACAATATTAGTATATCATTTTAGTATATGAAGTAATAAATTTAATCTTTTAAAAATAACACTTTCAGTTAATCAATTGTAGATTTAGTTTTTAGTATAAATTTAGACTCTGAATTTTTTAGAAAATAGCATGTTGAACAATATGTTTATTTTTTTTGTTGTCCACGGTATCCCTCTAGCCGACAGTTAGAAGACGTCTCAACGGTTATCGTTTAAGAGATAAGGTGATGAACCACCACGCCAAGTATATTGGTTTAAACAATATGTTTATAAAAGTGTGTTGGACTATTTTTTTTTTTCTTTTAATTATATTTGATAGTATTTGATGATATAGGAGTGCATTAGACTAGTTTTTTTTTTTTTTTTTTTTTAATTGTATATTTTTTTGGTGGTGTCTTTATTGTATGTTATTTATAATTGTATATTAACTAAGTAAAGTTATTATTTACTGCCTAGAGGGAGTAAATTAAGTTTACAAAAGTAACATTAAATGTTATTATAACTAACATGGTTGGCGTGGTGGTTCAGCACTTCGTCACTTAAGAACCATCTATGTGAATGGAGCAAAAGCACCATCTATGTGAATGGAGCAAATCATTTAGCCAGTCCCTTACCACTTAATGTGCTGACTGTTGAGATGGAGGATTAGTGTTTGATTGTCGGCAAAAGAAAAAACATTAAATGTTATTATCATGTATATACGGAAATTAAATTATATTAGTTCAAATTAAGAATGTTAATAGACTAACTTGTCCAAAAATACAAAACTTGTTACTCCGTATTATATACGGAGTAACATTTTATGAGATACTAAATACGAATGTATTTCTTGCAAAGCATACATCAATCTTAATCTTAATATAGTTAAGAACTTGTCCTCGTACATAGACAGGTGTCTTTCGTTCACAACAGAGGTTTGTAATTTGTAAACGAGGTTGAGTAGGTTTCACTTCATTAACAATATAATAATCACGATTGAAAGAGATTATCTTATCGCGCAAGGAAATTAAGTTAAGCATTTCAAACTGGATTACCGACTTGCGTTTGCATGCATTTGGGGAGTCGCAGCACACGTGGCGTACGAACAATGGATCAGAGGCCTTCCATTGGGTCCCACGAGGCTCAAATATAAAATTGATTAGCATGGAGAGATTATATTATGTTTAATTTACTCAGTATTTTTTTTAGGAAAAAGTACCAAATAACTTACTAAACTTTTTTTTTTTTTTTTTTTTTTTTTTGGTGTAATTGAGCCACTGAACTTAAAAATTGTGCAGTTAAATCTTTAAACATGTAAAATATGTGCAATTATGATATTTTACTAATTTTTCTCGGTAAAATTCGATCATATAATTTACATGTTATGTACTAGTTGGTATGAACGATTGAAATATTTTTAATTTAAATTGTATTAAAATAAATCATAAAAATGTCTCAATTGCACATATCTTACCTTGTTTGATAGTTCTATCGCACACTTTTTAAGTTCAGTGATCCAATTACATATAAGCGTCAGTTAGGTGACTTATTTAACACTTGTTCCATTTTTTAATAACATAAACTTTCAGAATTCGTCAGACTATATTTTAAATCCTATAACCTGCCATCAAATTCATGAAGAGGTAAATTCAATCAGTCTAGTTTCGATACTCATCACCAAATTCTTTTTTTACTATATGCACGCACAAATTAAAGATCAGAATCTAAACCAAATCTAAATTTTCAATTTTCAATATTCATAATAGGAATCGACCTACACCATATTGCTGGATTATATTTAATTTGTTTATTTTGACCCCATGATTACACATTCTTGCAAGTAAGCTCTGATCTTCCGGGCGGGATTACCCAAGAAACCAACATTAGTTGATTTAGTTCTAACGGCACATTATTATAATCTATCCTATGGATGCTTATGTATGTACCTCCGTCGTCTCATGTTTCCTCATACTAGGATATGGTCGGGAAAACCCTCCGGGGAAACACTGCGCACACAATATATAATGTTTTATTTGTTTTGTTTTTGTACCAAAAATCCAAAATAATTAAATCTGCAGTACAGAAATGCTGAGTTACGTTTTCGATTGTTCGTTATGGAAGTAGGCTTCCTTTTTGTTTGTTTTTTATTTTTTTTTGTGCTCCAGCTTTTGTCCAATGTATACGGTACATAACTGCTTTTTAATTTTGAGAAAAAAATATGTACAAGAGGGCTATATATATATATATGTGTGTGTGTGTGTGTGTCAACAACTTTTGATTGAAAAAAAAAACCATAATTTTCGTTAAGCAGAGTTTTAGATTTGAATAATATATATATATATATATATATATATATATATATATATATATATATATATATATAGGATTGTTTCTAGCCACAGGCTCTAAATTTTTAAAATTTTTTTGGAGTTTAATTTTTTTAATAACCCCCAAACTACACATGAAAAGTAAAATGTACTGGGAATGTCTTGTACAATAGATTCAACCGAGAGAGTATTGGTAAGAATTAACTCGTGACATTTTGATATGAAAATTATGTTGCATCACTTGGTTATTAACTTATTACCCCTTTCCAGGGCTGTGCAAACCTGACCCAACCCGACGCACCCGTCCGATCCAAAATCTGAAACCAATGCATCCGACCCGACCGTCATCCGAAATTTCATATCCGATCCGCAGCCCTATACGACGTCAGATAAAGAAGTTCGGATAGGGTTTGGTTTTTTCCCATCCGACCCGTCCGATTACCCGAAGATTGCTAGGGTTAGGTTTTATGTGTATGCTAGACGACGTCGTATGAGGTTAGTATATATGTATGTTGAACGCTCTTGTGAGCCAGATGCGCAGCTCTCTAGTCTCTTCTCTTCTCTGAGACTCTCAGCTCTCTTCTCTCGTTCTCTGTTCTCTGACTTCTCTCTACTCCTCTCAAATCTCATCCTCTGAGTCTCTCACAGTTTCACCTCTCTCTAGTCTCTACTCTCTGAGAGTCTGACTGTCTGAGACTCTGAGTCTCTACTCTCTACTTTCTCTATCTGAGACTCTGTGGAGTCTTCGATTGTTCGGTGGTGGACTGGTGGAAGCCCTTCTCGAGTTGGTGGTGGACCGTGGACTGGTGATTAGAGGCCCTTGTTCTCCGGGGAATATTAAGGGAAAACCAAGTAAAGCAAAAACCCTAGTTTTAGTTTTTGTGATCTGTTGATTATTTTCTCTCCGCATGTTCAGAGGTTCGTATATTTGTGTTAGTCTGTTAGATTATGCTATGTTTTGTTCTATTTTATGATCTATTATGGTGGAAGCACAAACCCTAGTTTTTGTTTTTGTGATCTGTTGATTATTTTCTCTCTGCATGTTCAGATGTTCGTATATTTGTGTTAAATTATGCTATGTTCTGTTCTATTTTGTGATCTATTATGGTGGAAGCACAAACCCTAGTTTTGTAGTTGTGATTTGTGTGGACTGTGATATTGTTATCTGTTGAGAAGTTCCAGATTGCATGTCACTTGTCTAGTTGTCTCTAATTTGTGATACTTTTGATATTTTGATAAGGGTTTATGTGATTGTGATTTCTGTGGACTATGATGAATTGGTAATGTGATATTGTGATCTGTTGAGAAGTTCCAGATTGCATGTCACAGACTCACAGTGTCACTTGTGTATAATTTGTGATACTTTGATAGTTTGATTGTGTGGACTGAGATAATGTTTTATTGTTAATACTTGAGAAGTTCCAGATTGCATTTATTGAATTATTGGTGGAAGTCATTAAATATTTAAATGATAATATTTGCATAAAAGTTAAAGGCTTGAATGTGAAATTATCAAGTTTCAAACTTGAAATTTCCATTTATTGGTGGAAGCCATTAACTGAAATCCAGATAATGATGAATTGGATACAATTCCTGAATCTGGATTTCTTTCATTCTTTGAGTATGTTTATGGATGTACTACCCTTAATTGAATGTAAATATGTAAATATGTAAATATGAAAATGTGAAATCTTGATACATGATGACACAAAAAGTGTCTCAATCTTGATTTCTTTGTATGTTTATGTGATTGTTGGCTTGTTGCCTTTGCTGAGTTCTTGAAGTACTTGTATTTGTTGGACCTTTAATTGATGCCCATCATTTTAGATGGAGAGCATCAATCTTCCTGACTCTGGACCTCAACCCTTAACTCAAGAGGGACATGGAGGACAAGCCCAAGGCACTGAGAATCTTGCTCAGCAGCCTCAGGTTGCTCCTGCTGTTCCTGCAAAAAAGAGGAGGGTGGTTGAGTCTAGATCTCCAGTCTGGGATCACTTTGAAAAGATCAAAAACTCTGAAAATATAGTGGTTAAAGGCAAGTGCATTTACTGCCTGAAAGTGTTTTTCTGTGAGTCTAAGAAACATGGCACATCATCTTTGAAAAATCATATGCTGGCATGCCTTAAAAATCCTGTTTCAAAGGATACTAGGCAGCCCCTTCTCACATTCAATACTGTTTCAACTTCTGCAACAGAGTCTCCTGTGGGGGTTTTGGGGACATGGGTCTTTAATCAAGAGGCCATTAGGAGGGAATTGTGTGAGATGATCATCATAGATGAACTCCCTTTTAGGTTTGTTGAGGGTCAGGGGTTCAAGAAGTTTATTCTTGTAGCTTGTCCTAGGTTTCAGATTCCTTCTAGGTGGACTATTTCTAGGGATATCTACCAAATTTTCCTAGATGAGAGGTTGAGTCTTAAGAAGTTGTTTAGGGTTGGCACCCAAAGGGTCAGTTTGACCACTGATACATGGACTTCTGTCCAAAGGATTAATTATATGTGCATTACTGCACATTTTATTGATGACCAGTGGAGGCTGCAGAAAAAAATAATTTCATTTGTCCCTGTTTCTTCTCATAGGGGGTGGAGTATATTGCCAAAGCCTTAGAGAGTTGTTTGTTGGAGTGGGGGATTAAAAATGTGTTCACTGTGACAGTGGACAATGC